GACCCACCTTGGAATCCAGGGATTGCAGTTCACCTATATGCCATTGCTTTGATTCATTATAATATTATTTTACGAGCAATTGGTCCACTCACTTGGCATTTTACTTGGACCAAGCTATTGGTCGTGTACGCCTGGAATGTCGATAGGATATTTGCGCGAAACCTGTTCGATGAATTACCTGTGCATCTCATGGTGATTGGGAATCCCTATTCACTCATCCAACAAATGATATGTTTGGATTCACATGGCCGTTGTTTCGAAGCTACTCTTAGTACTACAAAAGATGTTAACAAAGAGGTCTTCTCGAGAGCCTTGCAGCACAAAGAGGGCCATCCGAATCTTTCGTTGAAGCCTCAATAACAAGTTGATAGAGTGGGGATTGTTATTCCAACCATTGTCATTCGAATTGGTAATGCTTCTGTCATCGATCTGGACTATGAACTTCATGTTGATTTTGTGTTTCATGCAAACACACATGTTGCTGCAGTTATAAATTTAACTCATGGTGGAGTGTGTGCTTATGGTGCTAAAAATAATTTTGCATCCTTGTTATCCTTCATGTTTGGCTTCTGTGATAATGCTTCATATGGTGACTCTGTTATTGCCAATACTAAGTTGGGTGATGGAGATAATTTTGACACTAGTTATCGAGCACTCAATTATGGATTGTTGTTTGAGGGTATGGAAGAAAAGGCAGCATTGCTTGGACAACATTTGCGCATGTTATTCTCTGGTATTTTTGGCTTCAAGTTACCTAACAAGTGTTGCAGTAGGGTGCCAACAATTGACTTGGTTTCAACCATGACCCAAGTGATTAGGAAACATGGTGTTCTTGGAAAATTTGTTGAATTTTATGGTAATGGTAAGCGTAAATTTTATAATATACACCGTGATTGCTTGCAAAATTTTTAGGGGTGTCAATCTCTAGGCCTACAATTGGGATCTACACTGGGTGTCCTATTGCATTTGCTGCCAAGGGGAGAATACTTGGATCAGATTCTGCTTACTTTAGTGGTTTTTCCTTCTCACATGGCTTCTGCTATTGTATGGGAACCTCACAATGCTACTTTCTCTGTTCACCAACTTGATGAAAAAGTAGATGAATGTATAGTGCTTGACACTAAAACCTTGTACAATTTTTGCTTCTGTACCATGAAGATCATTACCCCAAGCTTTGGTCATCTAAACCAATTCGTATCAGCAACCATGCATGTTCTTACTTCTTGTTTGTGCTTCCCTATTCTGCTATACTTTGATTTGGGTAAGGTTGTTGTGACTTCCTTGGGTGCAAACGGTGGTACACACATAAGGCTTATGCAAAGGCTGTTGTTATAACCAATTCATTAGGTTTGGAATGTTTTGAAGCAATTGGCACAAAAATGCAGATTTCTTTGCAAAATGCTCTAGAAATGACGAGATATAAGATTACCTATGGTCCAATGGCAACACTCCATTTAACTCAGCATGCTATAGTTTGGTTACTGCTTACTTTTCTTGATACCTTCAACTTGGAGAATCTTCTTTTTATGGTTCATGATAAATTACATTACAGAACCTGTGTTTCTCACTTTTCATTGATGGATTTCCATGACTTTACCTTTGAAAGGCTTGGAGGTGCAAAGTTTCCTTCTATGTGTTGTACACTATGTCACTGCATTGTTGCTCAATGTTTCATCTTTGATCCGGGTGGTCAAGCAACTCAACCTCGAGGACGAGGTTGGTCTGAAGGAGGATGGAATGTAACGGGAATGAATGTATCTCAATAACCAATCTTATAGTAGAGTAACCAATCCTTATAATAGGGTAACCAGTCCTTATAGTAGTGTCCTTATTTTAATTCCTTATTTGTAATAGGTTTTTTATTGTAACAACCTTCATGGGTATAAGTAGGTGTGTGACTGTTAAGAAATAATATCAGAAAATTATTGCAATTTCTCTTCTCTCTCCTGACTATTCCTCTCTCAATTCCCTCTTCTCCTCTTCTTATCCTTTCTGCAATTCTTCTTCTTCTGTAGCATCCGCTACAGGAACCATGTTTGGACTTGAACTCATCTTTCACACGAAAATTAGATCTAGGTTTTGGGTTTGGAGGTTGGTTCGGATTTTTGAGCACAAAATGGGAGTGTGGAGATGTAATCCCAATGTCCCACCAAGATTAAGCTTTCTGAAATGATGAGATGAAATATATGTGTGATGTTTCATAAAGATAGGTCAAGGGAGAGAGATTTGGGGGACAAAAACCCTATACCTCGCAACAATGGCCGAAACCCCTTGATATTGGGGTTTCTGGTCGAGATTTACCCGGGTACACCCCTCCCTACCCGGGTAAATAATTCAAGCAATTTCCCAGAACTCAAGAATTATACCCTGGTACACCCCTCCCTACCGGGGTATGCATAAAATTTCAAAAAATACCCAGGTATGGAGGGGAGTACCCGGGTAGGCTTCGTGGTTAACGGTCAAACATAGGCAGATTGGTGTTATGTTTTTTTGGGGAGGTTAAATTTTTGAAATAGTTTATAATGAAGGTCAATTTGGTAATTAATTATGAATAAATGGTTATAAGGGTCAAAAAGCCCAAACAATACTTTTTAAGTTAATTTAGTTATTCAGGTGTTTAATTAATTTATACTCATGATTAGGGGTGTTAACGGGCCGAGCCGAGCCGATCCGATCCGAGCTTTGGTCTTAAAAGGCTAAGCTTGTGTTTAAATGTGTCAGTCTGACCAAGCTTGTTACCTGTTATAAATATAACTATCGGCTTGTGGCCTGACTTATTTACAAAAAATAAAAGCCTTGTTTAGCCTGTTAGCCTATTTAAAAAAAAATAAGACAACAAAAATTTATCCAGTATATATAATCAACAACATTAGTAATTCCATAAATATTTATAAATTCAATTTATATCCAAACAACATAATATAGAACAAAATCATTCAAAAAGTTTGTTTAACCAATAAAATGGAGTGAAATAGATTGAGGAAAAAGAGAAGGCTATTACAATTAGTATAAAAAATATAAAATATAAATAAAAAATAATATACAAGGCCAGCCCGAGAGGCTTTAAGGCCGAGTTTTTGAATTGGAGTCTGAGACCTTTTTATTAAACGATCTTTTATACAAGTCCCAAGCCTGGTGCCAACAACCAATTTTAAACATGTAAGTTCATGCCCTTCACGAGCCGAGCCAAAGGCCCCTGATTTGTTTAGCACCCCTACTCATACTCATGATTGTACGAGTAAGGATTTAAAGAACCAATTGCATCAAGTGAAATGTTAGAACTAAGCAGTCTTAGAGAAAAAAAAAATTGTTACCCGAACTATAGTAATATTTATTGTTTTTATTTAAAATTAAATTTTGTTTTTTCCTGTTTTGTTTTTACCCCAATACACTATCTGCTCGGATATTTGGTCATCGTTTTAGATATTTCATCTACCCTATTGAGTTTTCTAAAGAAAAATGCTAAACAGTTAAAATTGTTGCCAAATTTTTTGTTAGAATGAAATAAAATTGTTGACTCTTAGATAAGTAAATAATTTTTACCATTTTGACACATTTAATCATCACTCTTATTGTTGAGATATATAGTCCCACATTAGTTGTACGAACAACTAATGTGAAGTTTATAAGGCCTTGGACACTCCCACCCGTTGAGCTAGCTTTTGGAGTAGAATATCCCAAGGTTCTTTACATGGTATCAAAGCCTCACTAAATTGGGCCTGCGCAATTTTCGCAACTAATGTGAAGTTTATAAGGCTTTGGGCACTTCCACCCTTTGAGGTGGTGTATCCCAAGGTTCTTTACATTTTTATCTTATCAAATTCTTACTAAATTTTGTCCAAGTAATTTTTTTGCTGTTTAACATTACCCTCTGTTTAAAGTCCTAGCTGATTTAGATTGTAGACTAAGTTTGAATTGACCATATAATTTGAATTGGGTATTTTCATAATGTAAATAGCTTTTAGAACTCAGTTCAATTATGAAAGAGAGATGTGATCTGTAGTGCACATTGGCGGCATTTGGTCATACACGTTTTCTAATTTCTAGAACTTGAGGCTGGTAACTTGGAACTTGGAATTGGTAATCATGTTCATGAATCACAATTTTCTCCCCTCTCCGATGTACCTTTTTCTCTCTTTCTTCCACAAGTTGACTGTTGACAGAGACTTAATCGCATGCTGTGCTCAACAATTGATTATGGAATCTTCAACGCTAATAAGAACTCGATATTTGCCATGGTGATACATACTTCACAATTGTAGGACTTTCCGAATAGATATCCCATGCAAAACAAAATTCATATTATTTGAAATTAGCACCAACTACACTCTCCTATCACTAGAATTAATGTGGATTATAAAATTGCTGCACAATAAATAAAGAAAAATGAAGTTACGAAAAGAAGATTCTAGAGACCTTATAAAGTCAAAGAAAAATGAAGAAAACAAATTCTAAAGATCCCATAAATACGAAAATTACTTCAGTATTATGCATGCATTGAGTTTTCGATGCATTTTTCATTTATACGTGTCTTATTTTTATCAAATTATTTTAAAATAAATAATTTATTTTAAAATGAAATAAGAGAATGATTTAACAAAAAATAAATCACGTGTCACATTATAAGTAAAAGATACATCCAAAACTCAGTGCATCCATAAGTAAATAAGAATCTAGAAATATAATTGCAAGTATTAATAGAAGCAAAGCCATTAGTATGTTACTTTTATAAGAAGAAGCAATAACTGAGGAAGTAAGAGAAGAATGGAAAACAAAGATTAACTTTTGAGAGAATAAATAATGAAAGTAAACACGTATAAATTAAAATAATCTTCTTAAAGTATTAAGTGTATGAAAATATTTATAATAAATTTTTATCAATAAAAGTTGTATATTTTATTCTTCAAAGCACGTATTTTACAACTAACGCAATTCAGTAACTCTCTTACATTGTTCACATCAGGATAAAGCAGAATTCATTCCAATTATTACGCTTACAATTTACAAGACGAAATATACTAACTCAATATCTTTGGTCATGAGGCTGAGTTTTCCACAGCCATCTTACGAACATTACATAGAAGGGCAAAAAAGATAGCTCATATACTGCTTATAATGTATGATAAAGTATAGCAAAATGACAATAACATCTAGCAAGCTGTGCGAAGAGTGTAGTTGATTTCTTTATTCACCAAAGTGACATCTGAACAATGTCCATCCTGCAACTGGTCCAATGGTTCTCCTCCCTTCTTGTCTTCATTGTCATCCTTAGCACCCAAAAAGCTTGGTTGATTTGTTGAAGATAAAAGCCTAGCCCACATTCTATCAGTTATAACTACGTGGTTCTGTCTCTCGGTGATTCTCTGCATAACAATGCAACAAAACATCAGAGAGTTAGCCAACAAATCCCATTTAATCTGCAGAACCAACAAATATCATGCCTAATTAACTCACATAGAAGGGTATATAAGTTTGTCTTCCATTGACAAGTCCACTTGTATAGCCAGTATATCCTGCCATTGCTCCATGAACAGCACTTTGAGCAAGAAGGGTGCAGTACACATTGTCAGAAGCATTGCTTGGAACAGCTCGGATCATATAGGTTGGATCTGTAAAAAAGAAAAGAAAAGGCAATACTCTTTTCAGCCATTGCTCCTTTCAGTTTGTGTGTGTGTGTGTGTGTGTACAGATACAATTCTATAAAGTTTAATCTTTACAAACCTATATATTTGAGAGTTATGGCCAATGTCTTCTCTTTAGCAAAATGATCCTGGAAGATGAAAATGAAAATATCTTTATAACCATTTGTCAGTTGTGAAAAAATTGACAGAATAAAATACAACACAATTTATGGCTGTCTACTTTTGTGCATTTATATCAAATCCATACAAAATACCTATTCAACATCCCATCACTGATCAGATGTTTACCATAAGCTACTAACGATATGACATTCTCAAAAACTAAGAGTAAATGGCAATGCTTCTTTAAACTTTCCCTTAAGTTCAATATAGAAATCATTAATTGGAAACCGAAAACTAATATTCTGCTAGAAGTTCTGGAGAATTTAAACACGCAGACAAGTGTTGACAATGATAATAGGTTATGGGCCAGACAGATCAACCAGTTATCATAGCATAAGTGGGTGTAGCTGTAAGGAAGAAAGCAAGTTGAATCCGCATTCTACAAAGAAATTAAGAGGATAATGCATTCAAAGATAACGCTGAAAAGCACAAGGCATCTATCACAAAAAGAACAAATAACAATCTGACCTTAATCTTTTGGGATATCCATAGCCCAACATCTTGAAGAAGTTTGTTTCCAGAAGCATCCTGTTTGTTCCCAGATTGCATGCTCTCCGAAAGAAGTTCCTGTCCTGCTCCTTCAGCAATCACAATAACCATGTGCCCATTTTCTTTGAGTGTTTTCTCTATATATTCAAAAAGTCCACCAGGACCTCCAAGGTAAAAGGGTGACTCTGGAATTAAGCAACAGTCCACATCTCGACTTGCAAGAGTAGCATACATTGCAATAAATCCTGCACCATGCATCCAAAATAAAGCATATATGAAGCATTTTCAGGTATGCAAAATATGTCAATAAAAGAAATTTTGAACATCCTATTTAGCTGTTCTTTTCTTTTGAAATGTTACAATCAGAAGACAATAGTTATATGTTGGTTGAATTGAAGTCAGCTGCCTCCCTGATGGCCTTGTAATTTTAGAGACTGTAAGATGGACAGAATGATTCACATTCTACCGAAACCGCAAATGGTTTGCAGGCAGTCTGCATTTTACTCCCACGTTAAGCTTCCAGGAATCATGATTTATATGTCATAAGGAATTCATGCAGACCATCCACAACCAGTAGAATTATTGGCATCAAATACTTTGTCAAGTCTAATTAAAACAAGACATAAGCTTCTTTATTATTCTTGGGCCATGGAAGGAAGGTAATTACACGATGAATCATAAAGTTGATGAGTGGAATCATTATAAGCATTTAAGAAACATACCACTATATCGACCCATCAGCTTGACAACACCTATACCATTCTCAACACTTTCAGCTTCAACATGTGCTGCATTTATAGCACGTTGAGCCTCCTCAACAGCAGTGTCAAAGCCAAAGGACTTATCAATAACCTATTATGCAAGAAAGAGACAGCAGAAGAAATTAACAAAATGTTGATGCTAATGGATAGCAATAAATGGATTCAAATTATTTCAGTTGAAAGTCACTGCAAGAAAAAAGATGTACCGGGATGTCATTATCTATGGTTTTGGGGATTCCAACAACTGCAACTTTGAGACCACGCCTTCTGACTTCCTGTGTAGATAATCAGGTTGAATTGTTAATAAATTGCTACTTTTATGCAATTAGTTTAGCAGATTTAAATATATGCAGTAGAAAGTTCATTCACATTCCGAAACCCCACAAGTCTGATAGCCTCATATAAGTTATAGATACCTCAAAAATTGCAGATGCACCCCTCTGAGTTCCATCTCCTCCAATTATATAAACCTGAAATTCAGAGAGGTATTAATCTGATGTACATACACAAAAATATATACTGGAAAATTGAAAGAAATACAGACCTGATTGATTCCCCGATCTTGAATACTGTCAACGATCTTATTGGTGTCATGTCCACCTCGTGATGTACCAAGGATAGTTCCCCCACGCTTATGTATATCATTCACACTTTTAGGAGTTAAGGTTTTTGTATTGCGAGCATAGAAGCCCCTGTATCCTCCCTTCACATCACAAAGTTTTATTTAGCTACTGAGACCAATAGAAAACCAACTATGATAGTAATTGATTGTTATTACAGATAAGGGAGAACTGAAGATGGAAAATATTATAATCCAGAATAAACAACTTTTAAGTGGCCCCAAATAAGTAAAAAAGTTGTCAAATTACTACAAAACAAGAATAAGGCAATAATCTCTTTTAGACAAGTTTAAGCTAGCACATTAATAACCTTAGATTTTAAAGCTTGTTTGAAAAAACTAAGAGGAACCGAAGCTAGGGAGTGAAAGTTACATTAAATTTTTTAGAAAGTTAAAAAGAATATGAGAAGAATGAAAATGACGATCATGATTTTACTTTAATTGCATTGAAGAAAATCTTTCGAGCAATGTAGCGAAATGAAGAAAAGTCATACTACAAGGTAATGGAATTTTTAAAATTTCACATTTATTCTTCTGCTTTTCATCCCCATTGCCTCATTCTTGTTAAAAAAGAAAAAAAACACAAAACTCCCAGACACACACAAACACAAAACAAAAAGAAGAAGAAGAATGAGAAAGAAAGAAGCAGGAAGGCTGTGAGAAAATGCCATAAACATCCACTTACATCGATTCCCAGAACTTTCTTCACGCCATACATATGGTGTAAGCCACACACTAATTCCCTAATCACAGTGTTGAGCCCAGGGCACAGACCCCCACATGTAACAATGGCAGCCTGAACATCATCTGATTCAAAGTACACCTGAATATACAATTTTGAAAGGTCATAAACAAAAGAAGGTACCAAATATATCAATTATTACACAAATAGACCCACACACACACACACACAGAAAACATACCCTTTGACGAGGTCCAGCACGCCGAAAATGTACCCCTCTTTCACTATCTTTGTGAACAACAATCTGTCAGGGGTCAGGGACAAAAAGGAAATAAATGACATTAAAATTAAGGTAACAATGTCTAAGTTGCAAACAACATTCCACCAACTTCACGAGGACCTCTTTGTCTGAACATTTTAGATCATTGTCTTAAACATTCAATCTATGCAATTACTATTATTGGAGATGACAGGACCACCTCAATGTAGAGATCAATCAATAGCTAATACTTTTGGTACCATCTCTCCAATCCAGGAAGGTGAGAGCATTAATGTTCAAAGCGACACTTTCAAGCTACTTAAAAAAAATTTCTCATAACAATCGAGCATTAATTGAATGCTGATTATGAATTCAAATAGCACAAAATCACACTTTAAAATGTTTACTAGATACTAACCTTCTGAGGAACGCTGTCATCAACATGCACAAAATACTGCCTGGCAAATTACAAGTAAAATTCAATTTATCAAATAAGCAACAACACGGTTTAAGGAAACTACAACACACATAAAGAAGCAACACTTACTTAACTACTGAGTAAGCAGGGTTGTCTTGCAAAGGATTATGGTATGTCTGCAGTAACACCAAGATATAAAATCATACATAGATAAATCCCATGCAAAAGATGAAAATAGGAAAGGCAAATTCTCATCTGTTTTTCCCCCCCATCTCAAAGCTGCACATAATTATTTCACTTTTAAAAGAAATTCCCAAAAAGAAAGATACAAAATTTCCACAAGAAAAATTGTGGGACCAAATATTCTTATCTGATCAACAAGCCGGAAAATCAGCAAAACACCAAAAACCCAATTTTTTTTTTTTAATTTTTTTTTTTGCAGTGTCGGCAGAAGGAACAAAAGTCATTAGTTTTTATAACGACAAAAACATTTGATAGAGTGAAAAAACCAAAAAACAAGAAAAGGTGAAACAGAACAAAAAAAAAGCAAGACATGATCAGTGATAAGGTAGAGAAGAAGCAGCTTTTAATGACTGCGTAGGATAAAAGCACAGTACATAGAGAGAGAGAGAGAGAGATGAAAACGACGACGTACTGGAAGATCAGGAATGTAATCAGATAAATGCGGAACATCCTCGAGGATATAGCCAGCGGTACCATACACAACCTTAGGTTTGGTGTTGGAGTTTTTCAAAGTTGAATTCGAATCCATCACAACCCGAGACCCGAAACCCACTCCAGAACAAGGATCAAAGCAAGGATCCTCTGTGTTGCTGCTGTTGTTGTTTTGGAGGGAAGAGTTGTGGTTGTTATTGTTGTGATTCAGAAAAGAAGAAGAATTAGAATTCATTGAAAAGGGGTTAAGGTAAAAAGGTAAGAGTTCAATTTAACAAGTGGCGTAGAAGAAGAGAGGAGACATACTTATAGTAACTGGAGTTGACCGTAGGAATCAAAGATAGAAAAACAAAGGGTATTGAATTTTATTTGATCATGCAATAAATAATAATCATAAAAAAAAAAGAGAGGATTGTTTTAAAGGAAAAGAAACATGGCCACATGGGAACTTTCTTGGGTAGTTGAGATGAAACAGGTGGCAGAAGATGGGAATTGGGTCTTGTTTTCGTCTTGTTTTTGAACGAGACCTTGATTATTATTACTCAGGTCTATGCTTTTTTTGGGGCTGCAGAGAAACAGAGAGATTAACGGTGGTGGGACTAGTGGGTCGTTTCTAGAATAAACTTTGGAGATTCCGGGATTCCGTGTTTTTTTTTCTCTTTTTTCTTACGTTGTTAAATTCAGACTACTGTTTGTTCCTATGAATTAGCAGAGACACATGTTTCTTGCCGCATGTCTTTTACAATATAAACCAAAATAAAATGTCTTTTATATTTCCGTCAAATATTTTACATCTTTTTTTAATAGAGAATGTGCCGTAATTAGTCCACGAAGAACCCCACGAATGGGAGAAATTGGAAAAAAAAATTGCATTTATCATATTATATCACACAAAAAAATTTCCTACACACACAATATTTTGTGGGGCTTGCATTTCTTGAAGCAAAAAAAATAAAAAATTAAGACATCTAAAACGAATCTTTATAACATTACACAATTATTTTTCCTACAACATAACTCTTATAAAATCTTTACAAAAAAGCAAAAAGAAAAAAAGTTAGGTTAAAGAATTTGTGTTTTTTTTAATATCAGCCTATGTTGAAAGTCCTACATATTATATGACTTTGGGTTTGAATTTTTTTTTTGTAAGAGTAATGATTTTCAGGTATTAAAATTACTTTTACGTCAAATTCTATGATTTAATTATTTTGCAACTAAATTAATATTATAACTGTCACTCACACGTAAATGTGAGTGGGTTATACTAATTTTTTTTTTCTTTTTACAATGAGAATTACTCACTTTTATATGAGCATGATAAAAAAAAAAAAATTTGTAGTAAAAGCAGATACATTAAATCCAAATTCTTAAATAAGGAATTTGTTTTTAATGTGCCACACAATATATTTAATTAATGAACTATACTTTCAATGTATGGTTTTGTCCGGAAATGAATTCTCTAATGTGAAAAAAAAAACATGACATGGTCATGTGAAAGGATGATAATCATACAAAGGTAAATCAACGGTTATGATTTTATAACTACCTATTTTTATATATTTTCTCTCTTCTCTTTTATTATCATTGATTTCCTTCATGACATGGTCATGTGATTTTTCATGTTAGAGGATCTAGATCCGGTTTTATCCATATAAAACAAAAGTTGCAGTTAAGCTACGATTTAATCAAGTATATCTAACCTTGTTATTATTTCTGGTCTCTAAGCTCATATTTAGATTGAGAGAAAACAAATAGACACACACACACACAGAGAGAGAGAGAGAGAGAGAGAGAGAGAGAGAGAGAGAGAGAGAGAGAGAGAGAGAGAGAGAGAGAGAGAGAGAGAGAGAGAGAGAGAGAGAGAGAGAGAGAGAGAGAGAGAGATTTCTTCTTATTTAGTTGAAAAGAAAATAAAAAAGTATAAAAAACAGATTACGTCCATCCTTTGCATATGAATTTTCATTTTTGTTTCGTTAGTCTACGCAATATAATAAAATTTTGATACGTTACGAGTTACGAGTTACGACTGCTTATTAAATAAAAAGTCAACATATTATTGCTTTGAACTAAAAATTAATATATTATTTCTTTTTCCTAAAAAAATTCAATATGTTATTTTTTTTATGGGAAAAATATTGATTCTTTTTTTTTTTTGGTAAATAATATTAATTCTTTTAAATGATATAACTTTGTGTCGTTTTAAATTTTAATCATTAATTAATTTATTTGGTCAAACTTATTAATTCATTAGTAATTTGCAATAAATTATAACAATTGATTGTTTGAAACTAATGGTTCGAATCTAAAATGACACAAAATTATATTTTTAAAAGGATAAATATTTTTTCTTTTTTATACAAAGAAAGATATATGTTATTTCTTTGATAATTAGGCAAGGAACTTGCGCTAGCTAAAGAAAATATACCCAATCTATAATTATTAGTTTCATTTCATTTGGTAGTTTAAGATTATTTAAATTGATCAAAACAATTAAGGGAAAATTCAATAAAAAAGAGAGACAAATATATTATGTCAATAAAGAGAAACATTTTGAATCTTGACTGCTTATTAAATTTTGAAAATTACTAAACACAAAATATAATTTAATAAATTAATGAGATTAGTACTTATCCTTTTAAAAGATATAGAATTGTGATATTTTATCAAAATTACTATGTTTTATGGTAAGAAAAACAAAAATCATGGTGAGAAAAAGTGAGAGTTTTTTTTAATTTAAATATTATATAAAAAATACGAATTTTAACTAAAATTTCTGTGCTTTAAAAGGATAAATATTTTTCTCTAAATTATTATGTATATTTATTTTATAATACATATAATTCTAATTTTTAATTAAAAATCAATTATTATATATAAAAATTCATTATTGTGCCAGAATCTATTTCTTTTTTTCAGCATGTAAATATTATTATTAACTATGATAAACTTGTATATACAGATACAAACAACGTGTATAATAAACCGTTCATTGGCAAGTCAACTAATTCGATTTGAATATCTGATTAAGGGAAATAGATTTTTTATCTTTTGAATTGTTAATGATTTGCACGCTTTCAATTTAGCTCTTTTTGGCAATGCAATGGTGGAGGCTTATGTAGTTGCCTTGATTCCCTTGTGGCTTGCATCACAAGAACAAGATACTACCATATTGGTAAGTTAGGGCGGGTTTGAATTCTTCTACCAAAAATAAGTTTTTAATTTTCAGAATTAAAAAATATTTAATAATGCTTGTTTTGTAAAAATAATTTTAGAAATCATATTTTCTTTTAGAGAGATATAATATATAAAAACATTAAAGACACAATAATTTAATAGCTTGAGTTGTTGAGTGAGATAATTGCTTTATTGCGTGAGGGAGAGTATCATACAAAAATGGGTATTTGGCCTCTTGCGTGAGGGGATGTGCTAGAAAGATATAATATAATATTAAAGGCACAATCACTTAGGGTGTGCATGACAACCTTTAATTCTTTTTTAATTTCTGTTCCTGGGAACAGAAATGGATAGGAATCTCGTTTGGTAAAACCGGTTTATTTTTTTGTTCTCGGTATGAACCGATTTATTTTTTGTGCTGGGAAACAGAAAAAAAAATCAGAAAATTTCTTCTTTTTTGTTCCCGGGCACAAAATGAGAAACATTTATCTCTCTCAGTCACTCTCCACCACCACCATCATCACCACCACCACCACCACCATCATCATCACCACCACCACCATCATCATCCCGTCACGACTGCCGCCACCATCGTACCACTAGTGCCGTCGTCACCACCCCTCACCACCACAATGCCACCGCCACCAAGGAAGCACGGACACTTGTAAAAACAGGAAGAGTCGGGTCCGACACGCTCCGACACGGTGTCGGACACGCGGTTGACTTTTTTCGACACGTTGACCATTCCGACACGCGAATTTGACAGTGTCCGACACGGTCAAATGGCATTTTCGTAATTTTTTTATTTTTATTTTTATTTTTTATTATTTTTTTTAAAATTTTTTTTAAAAAAAAATTATTTTTTTAAAAGTTAAAATATATTAATAAAGCTTCCACCTGATCATATTATTTTTATCTTTTTGTCTTTTTTCCCCTTATGTAGATAAGAGATCATCTCAGCATCATTGTTGTCAATTCCTATTACGCTCTTGTTGTATCTTTTTCTCTCTGATCTCTCTCTAATATGATTTGATCTCTCTATCTGATATTATATATCTCTCTCATCCCAGTTCTTATTTTTTTTATTAAAGCTTCCATCATTTTTATCTTTTTGTCTTTTTTCCCCTTAAGTAGATAAGAGATCATCTCAACATCATTGTTGTCAATTCCTATTACGCTCTTGTTGTATCTTCTTCTCTATGATCTCTCTCTAATATGATTTGATCTCTCTATCTGATATTATATCTCTCTCTCATCCCTGTTCTTATTTTTTTTATTAAAGCTTCCATCTTTATAACGTGTTGATGGGTATTATTAATTTAATTTCATTTTTTGTTAAATTATTAAATATTAAATGAAATATACACTATATAAATTAAAAATATTATTTAATATTAAAACGTGTCCCAACGTGTCAAAATCCATAATTTTTTAGGATTGACGTGTCGGAGTGTCGTGTCGTGTCGTGTCATGTGTCGCGTGTCGTATCGGTGCTACATAGACCGCCACCATTATCACCACCTCCACCCATCACTACCACCATGCTACTGTCACCACCCCTCACCACCAGGATGCCACCGACACTGTTACCACCACTATACCACCGTCATCACCACCACAACTACTATCGTCGCCACCATCACTATCACTGTCACCGTCACCACCACCATCGCCATCAACCACCACCACCATCATCGCAACCACTGCCGTCACTGTGGTGTCATAAATTCAATCATCACCACCCCACACTCTCGTGAAATTAAGTCAGTACAACTGTACAAGGTAGAATTAAAAAAAAAAAAGCCTATATCCACACTTCAGCCTGAAAGAGCATAAAACACTCATTTTGGTCCTGTTTGAATACTGTTTTAAAAATGTTTTCTTGATTTTCAGAACAAAAAAACTCATTTGATAAAACTTGTTTTGTAAAAAGAAACACAAAAAACACAAAAAAAAAAAAACATTTTGAGTTATTTTTGTTTTGTTTTTTGACTTATAATTTCAAAACAAAAAACACAAAAAAAAAAACATTTGTTTCCACAGCTATTCTACAAAATATTTTTAAGAACAAAAAAATCAAAATACAATCAAACAGACTCTTATTGCATAAACTAATTTTAAAAAATAAAAATAAAAAAGCAAAACACAGTCAAAGAATCCTTAATAACGACTTACATGGGTGATAATCCATCATTCAGCTGGCAAAGCATTGTGGACAGGAGAAAAAAATTAGATGAGAACTCGGAGATGATTTATTAACAAAATTGGGTTACATAGTTCATTGCAATTGAAATCCTAAATACAATCAAAATCCTAATTTTTATTAATAATTATTGATAAGACAATCTAATTAATTTAAAACAAGTAAGATAAAAAAAAAAACTATTTTAATAACCAAGGAATGACGATGAATTTTGATTGTTATACATAACGCAAAGTTATCCTATGATTCTGAGTCTCCCTTATTTATAGTTTTTCTTAATATGTAATTTTT